AGTATTCCAAATGAGGCAGAGTAGAAGGGGAAGATCACCTCCCTCAACCTGCTGGCCACGCTCTTTTTAATGCACCCCAGAATGCCGTTGGCCCTCTTGGCCACAAGGGCACACTGCTGGCTCATGGCCAACCTGTCGTCCACCAGGACACCCAGGTCCCTCTCTGCAGAGCTCCTCTCCAGCAGATCATTCCCCAACCTGTACTGGTGCATGTGATTATTCCTCCCCAGATGCAAGACTCTACACTTGCTTTTGTTAAACCTCATCTGGTTTCTTACTGCCCAGCTCTCCAGCCTGTCCAGGTCTCACTGAATGGTAGCACAGCCTTCGGGTGTGTCAGCCAATCCTCCCAACTTCGTATCATCAGCAAACTTGCTGCAGGTGGCCACTATCCCCTCATCAAGGTCATTGATGAAGATGTTGAACAGGACCAGACCCAGCACCGACCCCTGGGGAACACCGCTGGTTACAGGTCTCCAACCAGACTCCGCACTGCCAGTGACAACCCTCTGTGCTCTGCCAGTCAGCCAGTTCTCAACCCACCTCACGGTCCACACATCTATCCCACACTGCCTCAGCTTTGTTATAAGGATGTCATGGGAAACAGTATCAAATGCCTTGCTAAAATCAAGGTAGACCACATCCACTGCTCTCCCCCCATCCATCCAGTGACAACATCATAGAAGGCTACCAGATTGGTCAAGCATGACCTCCCCCTGGTGAACCCATGCTGACTATTCCTGATAACCTCCTTTTCTTCAGTTGTCTGGAGATGGCATCCAGCACAAGCTGCTCCATCACCTTTTCAGGGACAGAGGTGAGGCTGACTGGCCTGTAATTACCTGGATCTTCCTTCTTGCCCTTTTTGAAGACTGGAGGGACATTGGCTATCCTCCAGTCTTCAGGCACCTCCTGCATTCTCCTCTCAAAGATGACAGAGAGCGGTTCAGCAATCACCTCTGCCAGCTCCCTCAGTACCCCTGGATGCATCCCATCGGGTCATGGATTTATGAACGTTGGTGCTGCCTAGGTGCTCTCGGACCACCACCTCTTCCCTGACTAAAGGGAAATTTTCTATTCCCCAGACCCTCTCACTAACCTCCAGGGTCTGGGATTCCTGAGGGAGAGCTTTTTCACTGAAGATAGAAGCAAAGAAGGCATTCAGTATCTCTACCTTCTCAGCATCCCCCATTACCAGAACACCCCCCTCACTTAGTAGGGGAGCCACATTCTCCCTAGTCTTCCTTTTACTGTTAACATACTTTAAAAAAGTCTTTTTTTATTATCCTTTATCACCTTTGCCAGATTCAATTCCAGTCAGGCTTTAGCCTTCCTCATCACATCCCTGCAGGCCCTGACAACATTTCTATATTGTTCCCAAGTGGTCAGACCCTTTTTCCACATTTCATGGACCTTCTTCTTCCCTTTGAGCTTGTGTATGAGCTCCTTGCTCATCCACACAGGTCTCCTGCCACCCTTTCCTGATTTCTTGCTCACAGGGACACACTGATCCTGAACTTGGAAGAAGAGCTGTTTAAATGCAACCAGCTCTCACAGGCCCCCTTACCTTCTAACACCCTAGCCCACGGAATGGCTCCAAGTAGATCCTGGAAGAGATCTAAGTCAGCTCTCCTAAAGTCCAGGGTAGCAATCCTACTTTTTGCTTTGCTTCTTCCACTCAAGATTTTGAACTCCACCATCTTGTGGCCACTACAACCCAAGCTGTGCCCAACCATTACTTTCTCGACAAGCCCTTCCTTATTAGTGAGAATAAGGTCCAGCAACACCCCTCCCCTCATCAGTTCCTCCATCACCTGCATCAGAAAGTTGTCTTCAACACACTGCAGGCACTGTCTGGACCGCGCATGCCTGGCCATGTTGCTTATCCAGCAGATATCTGGATAATTGAAGTCCCCCATAAGCACCAGCACCTGGGATTGTGAGTTGCTTATGGAAGGCCTCATCAACCTCCTCCTCCTGATCAGAGGGCCTGTAGTACACCCCCACAACAGTGCCACCCATACCAGCCCACCCCTCGATTCTCACCCACAAACTCTCCACTGCTACACCGCTCTCCCCCAGGTGGAGTTGAATACATTCTAGCTGCTCTCTCACATAAAGAGCAACTCCACCACCCCGCCTCGCCAGCCGATCTTTCCTAAAAAGCACATAGCCCTCCATGACAACATTCCAGTCATGCGAGCTGTCCCATGACATCTCCATGATCGCAATGAGATCGTGGCCATGCGACCGCATGCAGATCTCCAACTCTTCCTGTTTATTTCCCATACTGCATGCATTAGTGTGCAGACACTTTAGGGAAGCAGCATCCCCCTGCCCATCTCCATCCCTTCGAACTCCACCCTCATCACCCATCAAGCTCTGTTTTGAGCCTCAAACTACCCGCTCAGCCCCAGTGGCCCTCATTTTGTCCCCTTCTTACCTAGTTTAAACACCTTTCAATGAGTCTCACCAGTTCCTGGGCTAAGATCCTTTTATCCCTTACAGACAGGTGAGTTCCATCTGCAGCCATCATGCCAGGTGCTGAGTAAATTGCCCCATGGTCAAAAAAAAATAAATAAATTCTTGTGCCTACAGCAACCTCTAAGCCATTTATTTACGAGCAGGGTTTTTTTGATCCTCTCAGTGTCCTTCCCCTCCACTGAAGGGATAGAAGAGAAAACCACTTGCACACCTGCTCCATTAAGTACCCCCCTCAGTCCCTTGAAGTCATTTTTGATAGCCCTCAGGCTTCTCTCAGCAGCATCATCACTGCCAACCTGAACTACCAATAAGGGATAGTAGTCAGATGGGCGAATAAGACCAGGAAGCTTTCTAGAGATATCCCTGACCCATGCCCTAGGAAGACAGCATACTTCCCTCTGGGTGGGGTCAGGCTGACATATCGGGCCCTCAGTTCCTTTTAGAAGGCAGTCGCCCTCCTTTCTTTACTGGAGGAGGCAATCTTCAAGCGTGGAGCCAACCGCCTCTCGTAGAAAAGCTTGGAGGCTGTCCTTCCACATCATTGATTGATTGATGCTCTGCTGAATGTGAGCCAGTGGTGTGCCCAGGTGGCCAAGGAGGCAAATGGCATCCTGGCTTGCATCAGAAACTGTGTTGCCAGCAGGAACAGGAAGTGATTGTACTCAGCTCTGGTGAGGCCGCACCTCAAATACTGTGTCCAGTTCTGGGCCCCTCACTGCAAGAAAGACATTGAGGCCCTGGAGCTGGTTCAAAGAAGGGTGACAAAGCTGGTGAGGGGTCCAGAGCACAGGCCTTATGAGGAGCAGCTGAAGGAGCTGGGATTGTTCAGTCTGGAGAAGAGGAGGCTCAGGGGAGATCTTATTGCTCTCTACAACTACCTGAAGGGAGGTTGTAGTGAGCTGGGGGTCGGCCTTTTTTCTTGCATAACTAGTGAAAGATCTAGAGGGAATGGCTTCAAGCTGCTCCAGGGGAGATTTAGGCCGGACTTTAGGAAATACTACTTCTCTGAAAGAGTGGTCAGGCACTGGAATGGGCTGCCCAGGGAGGTGATGGAGTCACCGACCCTGGAGGTGTTCAAGGAACGTTTGGATGTTGTGTTGAGGGATATGGTTTAGTGAGAACTATTGGTGATCAGTGGATGGTTGGACTGGGTGATCCTGTGGGTCTTTTCCAACCTTGGTGATTCCATGATTCTATGATCCTATGAACAGCCAACAGAAAGTGACACAGGCATAAACTTGACCTTGTACTGCTGCAATTTATAGCAAAAACTGATGCCGAATTTGTGAAAGAGGGTTTGGGACTCTGACTAGGTGTTTGCACCTTCTAGTTGTGGGCTGCAGGTTAAATAACTTTGAACAAGCTCTAAATCCTAGGGAAAAAAATATCAGCCACCTCTTTCTACCCTGAACTAAAATTCTTTCACCTCTGTACTGACAATAAAACAGCTTTAAATCTGAAATGAGAAGCCATGGAGGAATGAAACTCTAAGGTCTCTCTGATCTAAAGGCTACAGAGGAAGCCTTTGGAGAATGGAAAGTTTAAGACACACGTTGAATAACTTAAATAATATTTCTGTTCTTTAACACTGACTGAATCTATTTCCTTTCAAAGAAGCTGTATATGGGTCAGGAGAAAGCCTCTCAATCTCCGGAGACAATGCCTCTTTTTTATGTAAACCTTCTTTGGCTCAACTCACATGCTGTTCCCTGGCTTTCATTGCTTGGGAAACATGCTTCCAGGTTTGCAAAAAGCCCTGATACGCTTGCAAGCACATCTTTCTTCTGGCAGTTATTTGCTGCCCTATCTACAAAAGCTAAACCCATGATGCTTTCTGGAAGCCTGACTTCCCAAGACTCCTTTCATGTGAGGATGCCCTATTTTACCAGTGATAAGCACAATGAATCCTCAGTATTAAGACCTTAGGGCTGCTTGCCCAGACTCAGTGCAATGAACAAAGTAATAAAAGAACTTCAAACTGCAATAATCAAAAGTTGTGGGAATGGAAGAGTGGCTTCGGGAATGATGCAAATGTCATGAGAGAACTGATCCAGTGGAAACTGGCTGTCAGAATGCCATGCAGTACGCAAAGTGAGGAAGGAGCAGATAACAGGATCACTGTCTACACACAGACAGTTGCTGTCCCTTTTTCTCACTGCAGGCAGATGGGCTATGTCTGGGCTGCAACTAGAAACTGCCCCTGCCTGGAGCAGGCAGATGTGGCATGATTTGTGTCCTCCTTATGGCCTTATTACTACTAGCCAGATAGGCAGCACATGTGCCTGGCAGCCTGCTTGTAGTCAGGAGCAAAGTTTCACTGTTGCCTAAGTTAAGTAAATGCTCTCAGCTAAAATATTCCTGGGTGTAACTGACAACAGACTAATATAATTACAAACCAGTGATACTCACCAGTGATGTTGATTTCTGGAGTTTCTTAGATCCACAACCTGCTTTCTTTTTTTTCTCAGCTGCCTGCCGGCTAAGGTCCGGAGTCTCCCCTCCTCCTTTCTTTCTCCTGCAGAGTAGAACAGAATAGTATTAACAAGTGCTATGGAGTTGGTTCCCTGGGGTGGAGAAGAAGAAAATTCCTTATGATAAGCCACCCGAAAAGGCGTGGTTTGAGCTCATACATTTTATCTTGTACCTGGGGCAGACCAAGAGTGCACAATCAGTTCTGTGGCTCAGAGGAGCTTGCTATTTTTTTAATTATGATAACTTCATAGCATTCAAATGCATGTCCTTGCCTTGACACTTACAGATGTATGAACACATCACTGGGTAAACACATAACTGGTGCTACACCAGGGTAAGGGAATTCACAGAAAGGGAAATTTAGCTAAATAATGTTTGAATTTTTAGTTTAGTCCATGTAACTTGCAACATAAATAGGGTTAGAGGATTTCCCTTTGAACAAGTTATTCATCTTTACTATAGCCAAGTAGACTTTCTTATGAATGTAAATGATTTTATTTACAACTATAATTAAAGTTAATATGATAGCAAACAGAACAGGCATATTCCAGAGGTGAAAATTAAGTGAATATGGCCAGTTGTCATATTACTTCAGTATCAGGATTAAAATTAGTACTATAAGAAGGTTTTTTTAGGGATTTGGACAGGTTCACAAACACATTTGGTCTCAAAGTATTCATTCCCCTTCCACATTCACATTCTGCAAATCACAGCTAAGTTTACAGATGTAGTACATTTAAAGCAGCTACTCTGTGTGCTGTGTGGATTCACCTCCCAGCTCCACCACCAGCATGTCTGGGCTCCTGGAAAGCATGCTAAAAAGCAAATAGTGAACATGAAATCATGAATTCACTGGGTGAAACCAACCTTGAAAGCAACACTCATCCAACAAAGAAGCAGAGCCACACTGCATAACGTGCACATCCTCACAAGCAGCCAGAAGCAGTCTGTTATTCACTAGTCCCAGACCAGCTGCAGATCAAAAACCATCAAGACAAATCAGACAAATTATTTCAAATAGCAAATTGAGGAAAATTGCAATCTCTTTGTAAACACTAACATCTGAGAGAGACAATTCAAGCCAAAACACTACAGGGAATGATGTGGTCATCTTTAGAAGGCGGCAGTCTTCTGCCAAAAAGAATCAGTGTACAGAAGGCTCTCCAATCATTGTTACAGCTAGGAGTGTTCTAAGAGTATAGAGTGGCTCTGACTCCATTCCTTATAGTCCAGTGGCAGCATTGGAATAAGCCCATCTACTCAGAAAACAAACACACTGATCCACTTACACAAGGAGAAAATACCAATATCCTGTCAAATATATCCCTTGGTTTATAGTCTCAAATTAAGATTTTAAAATCTATTGCTGTATTCTAAAGTCCATGCTCCTGGTGTCAGAGCATCCCCCTGTAGCAGGGTGTGATCTCACCCCACAGTCAGGATAACGAGTGGTGGGGATGGAAAGGAAGACACTGCAAAGGAAGATGGCATCACAGCTGAGTAGGGCAAGGCAGCTCTTGCTCCAGTGCTGAACTCAGTGCTTCTCACCCTGCTTTTCTCTCCCAAAGAGTGTTTTAAATTCCTACAAGCCTAACAGGCAGGGAGTATGGGGCTGGCTATTCATGAAACATGAAAAGCAAGACACGGGCGTTGGGATGCAGAGGACGAGCGAAACATCATGCCCTTCTCACACAACCCAGCCCTGTTTTGTCAGAAAGTAGGCCTAGGCTGCTGACAGAACAATTACTGAAAGTAATTATTTTCTCATTGGGTAAACACTTCAGCACAATATGCAACTGTTTTTAGAGCCTGCCCATGTCCATAAATTATCTAACTGAATTAGCGCTAGAAGGCAGGGCTGGCTGGGGGAAGGAGCTTTCATTTTGGCTGAGTTGTTGTCATGAGAAGTAGCAGGGCTCTTTCTCGAGGCACAAGCACACAATCTTGGCGGGGGTCCAGCGCTCAGCTAGAATCAGGATTCATTAGTCATGATAAAATGGGAGGCAGATCTTTTGATTTATTGGCACTGAGCAGCACCATCACCAGATGCCTTCCAGCAGAACTGGATGTGCACAGCCGGAAAGGAACGCCCCTCCTGCTCAGAATCCCAGGGAAAATTTGCTAGTGTGGTCCCAGGCTTTAGATAAAAATGCTTCATTTCACCTTTGTGGTATTGCTTCGTATTCCCAAAGAGACAAATCCATCCTCGCTGGTCTCTGTTTGCATGCAATTAAAAAATTATCTAGACAATTCAGGCAGAAAACAAAACAGACCAAACAGAAATCACCCTTGTGATATATTGCTCACAGACATGCAGCAGCATTGAAAGCCACCACTATAACTCTAGCAAGTGATTTTGATAAGTCCTCCAGGCAATTTGTAACTCTACCCCTGTCTGTATCTCTCTTCTATCTCCTTGCCACTCCCTCGACCACGCATCTGCTCATCGCTGCTGTTGATTTCACTGCTCAGAGACTGAGCTTTTCCCACACTTCCCCATCTGAACCAAGAAATGTGTACTGATCATACTCCAGGATTGCTGTCCCAGCTCCTCTAATTCTGCAGGGATATTTGTCGTTGAGGTTCTTGGGTGTCATTTCTGATGCTTTCCTGAGCAAGCAGCAAAAAAATCAAAGCATCAGAAAAAAAGACAAAAACGAAACAAAACAAACCTGTCAAGACTCAATTATCATCCAGATTGCAAATTAACCTCATTCTAACATCTTTCAAGCACTATCTGGCAGTGGCCCAGTGTTATAATTCCTCTTTCCACTGACATGAAGCACCAGCACTGACCATGCAAAATACCCACCAAATTGTTCTACAGAAATGTATTTATTTTCTTACTCAAAAGTAAATACCCAATTATTTCACAGAATTTCACAGAATGGCCAGGGTTAGAAGGGACCTCAAGGATTATGAATCTCCAACCCCCCTGTCACACGCAGGGCCATCAACCTCCCCATTTAATACCAGCCCAGGCTGCCCAGGGCCCCATCCAACCTGGCTTTGAACACCTCCAGGGATGGACGGGGCATCCACAGCCTCTCTGGGCAGCTGTTCCAGCACCAAATTATGGTCTCATAGGTCAACGTACATGTTTTGTTTTACATCTCTTAGGGCTCTTAGTCTAAGAAAGTCGATTTAGACTAATATTGGGAAGAAATTCTTTACTGTGAGGGTGGTGAGACACTGGAACATGTTGCCAAGTGAGGCTGTGGATGCCCCTCCATGGATGCATTGAAGGCCAGGCTGGATGGGGCTGTGAGCAACCTGGGCTACAGGGAGGTGTCCCTGCCTACAGCAGGGGCTTGGAACTTCATGATCTTAAAGGTCCCTTCCAACCCAAACTATCCTGTGATTCTATGATTTTATGACTCCGTTTGACTCCACTCTCCTACATAAGAAAGAATTGGCTCTGCTGCTTGTTGCACTTCCATGTTCAGTTTTTGGCTAAGCAAGGAATTCTCTGCTATGAGTAGACAGCAGCATGGAGCTAAAACAGAGGAAGAGAGTTTGTAGCTCTCTTTCTCTTGTTGGCAAAGACCAACAAAGAAACAGAGGATGACTCCACTATTTAAATGACACTATTTTGGCTTCAGAGTTGACACCTGTTACAATGCCCAGGAGAGTTCTCTCCTCTTTTTGGACCGGAAAGCGAGCATAGAGAAGATTTTTAGTCGGTTCCAGGAGCTAGGAAAATCCTTAGTTTTTTTGTTACCTCTTAAATTCTGCAAGATTTAACCCAGCATTAGGCAGATTGACTTTGATTCAAAGAAGTAGCCAGTGACTAGTCTCACACACCTCTTTGATGATGGCGTCAGGTATTCCTTTGATGTAATCTTGTTTGTTCACAAAGAATTTTCTACAAGTTCTGCTTTTCTCAACACAGACAGATGGAAAGAATGGTTTATTTTTTCTCAGCCATCACTTTGGCTGTCTGCTGTGTTTCTGCTAGTTCTGCTGCACCTTTTCACCCATGCTTATAACCTGCCCCAAGAAAATATTTGCTCCTCCCTATATGCATTCAGACTGCAGCAAAACTCATTACCTCTCCCAGACTACCACTGCAGAACCCTATATTTTAGGAAATCACTCCTATTGTTTTAGGAATCTCATTTTACATAGATTTCATTACTTCTGACATATAGTCTACACAAAGAGTGGATGTTACGCCCTTGAGCTCCAAGCATTCATCTAATCTGAAAAATAACTATACCTAACACAGCCTAGGGGGTCAGAGATCTTTATCTCATTTCTCTGTTCTACTTTACAACCCTGTACACTGGTCAGGCAGGGTCTGCCTGAGCCTGTAGGCTGCAGTATGATGGATCAGCTTGCACAGCACTCACATTACCTTTCCTTGCTCAGGCGACTACATACTCACTGAGTGCAGCCTTCATCAGCAGAACAAAACAAAGCTTGGCATTACAGAAGGGCACTGAGCACTTTACCATTTTGTGGCCACTTGGATCTCTGACCAAACTGCTTACTTGCTGTCACTGCTGCTGCCATGGGAGGAAAACACAAGCCTGGAATGGGGTATCCCACCAGTCCTGCTGCAGACAAGGAGAAGGTGAGGTGCAGAAGACCAGGTCCCCATGCAGCTGAAAGGATGGAGGATACAATACAGAACCTTAGTGGGAGGATTTCTGGAAAGGGGCTGCAGAGGGGACACTGTCTGCAGAAACAGCATTACATGAGCGGGTAGCTGGGTCAGCACCTGAAACAACACACCTGTATTGCTAAATAAGAGTCATTACAGGCAAGACTACACACTAGCAATTACTTTCAGCTTAAGTGATATTAAAGGGAGATCCTTGATAAACAAGTAAATCTCTTAGAATTCATTTTTCTCCTTTCTATAATCCTCTGTAATTACGGATAAAAGCCAGATTTGCTAGATCACTAGGCATTAAAATATCCTCCATTGCACAAATGGATAGAGGCTCAAATCTTACTTAGGAGAAGAAAACAGTCAGTGTGCTTACTGTATGATTAGCAACTCAGAATCATTTGCATCTGGTTGTCAGCTGCATCTACAGCTCAGTGCTGGAACAAGCAACTTCCAAACTCTTTGAACAGGGACTGTCCTATTTTTGACACTGATTCATGACCAGCACATGGGAACCCTAAACCTCACATAAGTCTTTGGAACAGGCTACGTAGGAACGCTTCACAACTGACAAATAATATTGGAACAACTATTTCAACAAGAGGCATTTTGTCAAAATATTTTGTTAAAAGCATCAGAGAACTCTACCTAAAATGCTAGAGTTTGGAAACACACCACAGAAAGAGGGTGAGGTGAAAGCTGGAATGCTCTTTGAAGTAGTGCAGTATCCCAGAACTAGGGGACGCGGATTAAAAAATGATTCATAAAAGGCTTTTGCTCACACACTGGGAACTTTGTGGAACACCCCAGAGGAACGGTGGGTCCAGCAAAGTTAATCACATTGAGAAAGAACCTGTGCAAGTGCACTTCTGCTTAGCCAAATAATCACTAGGCTGGGGTAATTTGTGGCTTGATTGTTCCTGTGCACAGTGCTCACCTCAGCAATATCAGTTATTTACTTAATGTACAGCCTGGTTACATTCATTGTGGATTAGATGGTTCCCAAGGTTTTTGCTGGCACAGGGAAGAGGAATATCCTCCTCTGTGCATTTTTGGTTGGGTGAGAATGTGCAGTCCTTTTCACAGGGACTCACATACGAAGGAGGCAATGGTCAAGTTAATCCACTACGTCTGCACCAGGCTCAGACTAATGATAATGTTACCACAGTTTCACAAGTTACTGCACATCAGCTGAATGAAGGTAACTGCTGAGAGCACCTCCTTGAAAAAAAGGAGAGGTGGCAGAGCCTTAAATGAGAAATGGACAAATTCCTTCACACAACTACCGCAGCCTCCTTGCTATTGTTCCTGCCAGTGCTTGCTGAAATCTGACCACAAACCTGAGATTCTGAAAATACCTTATGCCAGATATGTCAAAGGAAAGAAGTCAATGTGCAAGACTTTACTCTGGGTTGCAGAAATGCTTTCTTTTGTCAGCTGTTGACCAGGTAATTCTGGGAGCCTACAAACTGATGGATCTAAGCACTCCATCCCAGGTAGTGTAGATACAAATCCTACTCACATATCATACGGAACATATACACATACATACTCTACTACCTGCACACTCATTTGAACATCTAAATCTCTTTTCAGCCAGAAGATCCTTGAACTGATAGAATTGTGTATCATCATTCATTCATTCTTCTTTTGTGCATAAATTGCATATTCCTCTCAACGTTGTAGCTTAGAAAACTACAAGCCTATTAAAAAATTATTGAACAAATTCTTGATCTATTTCTTCCCCTTACAACTGTGTAGCTTCCCCAGGAGCTACAGCTTATTTTACAGGCAGACACTAGCAAGATCTACCAATGCACAGTGCTGAAAGGACGCAAAGCAGTGAAGCTGCAACCAGAAGAGGATCAAGATCAATATGCGAAAAGGCAAAAGGGCAGAACAGTGTGCTTGGGTTTGCAGCCAGGCTGGAGAGCTACAAGGCTTCCAGGCAGCATGAAGCACAGGCAGAGGGAACTTGCAAAGGACACAGACATACTCAATTAGCAGAGAAAAAGCAAAGGGCAGTGACAAAGCCTCTTACGCCTGCCTAGCCTGTTCAATGGGATCGTAGTTGTTGAGGCAGTTGAATCGCATGGTGTCTTTAGGGCACTTGTCTGGTGAACGCCATGGTGGAATTTCTTTTTTCTTCTTTCTAGTCTTCTTTTCTGGTGCAGAAGGTTTTGCTTCTGGAGTGTTGCTTCTCACCTTTTGTACTTCAGTAACTACGGACTCATCCTTCGAAGCAGTCTAATGAGAGACATTAAAAGAAGAAAATTAATTTTATCCTTTAGTGAAAATTTGATTCATTTTACCTAACCTCAGCTCTGTAAGAACTAGGTATTAATTCACTGGACAGAAATAGGCACCCCAGCAGTGCACGTCCCAATGCCCACTGCATTTAGATGGGTGAGTTGCATTGGCTTCTTCCACTGACCTCAGAGACAGCTTATGAGGGAGTTTTGCTGGAGGTCAGAGTTTTGAATTGAAGCCAGAAGGTTCCTGCCTTCACAGTCCCACAAACAAGGGGTCTGGATCAACAAATCTCAAGAGAAAACAGTTGCCACTGAGTAATGTTCCACTTTGCCAAAATGGCCCTGCCACCTTTGAAGAAGACAGGATGAGACAACAGCGAGCCTATAACAGGCAGAACGTGTGGGGTTTTTTTAGCTTTCCACCAGCTAGACTGACTCTGAAACTTCAGCAGGAGAAATGCTGGGCTCCCCACTCCTGCTTATCAGATTGAGGTAGGCTATCACATTCCCCGTAACCTGGAGGAGAGAGGGGGAAAGCCTGGAGTGCTGGAGAGAGAAATTTAGAGGCTAACTCCAGAACAATCTGAAGAGAGGACAGGATGAGAGGGAGACCTTGGTGACTGCTTCCTTCCTAACCTCTGAGATTTTCATTCCCCCTCATTCTTACCAGGGATGGATGAGAGAAAGCAGACCACATGGTAACACATGAGTTTAGATTCTAATTTTAAATTACATGTGTTCCTTCTTACTAGTGGGGGAAGGTAGTAAGTTTAAAAGTTAGTAACTCTGTTAGCCCAGAGTATTATAACTGGTGTGGAACACCTCCAGAGGAGGTAAGCATATACCTTTGGTCTTGTAACATGCAGCTCTTTCACCATTTCAATGTAATGTCTCTTCCAGATTCCTTGCTCAAAGGGGGTTGGAATGAAGTTGATGTACCAACCAAAACGCAAGCATTTCTTCATCCAGAGCTGATCCAGTTCAGACAGGTTTTTCCAGTGCCAGCTCACCTGTGGGTGACCAGTAACCACATATAAGAGTAGATCAACATCTTGGGGTTTCAGACATCTCAGATTACAGCTGGAGATTTATCTCCCCTGGATGCAGCTCCTTAAACTGACACTGTACTTCAGTGCTGTTTACAGTCCATGTAAAGCCCAATTTCCTCATGATCTGCTCATTGTTTGTTGGCTGATCTCCAGTGCAGGGTGAAATGCTCTAAAAATCACTAGCCAAATGGAAAGACTTCAGCCTACTTAGGGCAACTTCCTGCATTTCTACCCAGTAAGTGCATAGGAGTGGAAACAAACCCTTTATTGCATTTTGCTGACAAAAACAGAGAAATAACCTCCCCCCCAGGTCTGATAGACACATTCTGTTTTCTCCCTACTCATGTTCTGCTTTTATAGTCCATTGCACAGTCACCTTGCATGCAATACTTCTTCTAGCCTAAGGGCAAGCATCATCTATTTGCACAATTGTGCTTATAACAGCAAATATTCAATGATATGACAGAAGTAGCACTGTAAGGACCTTCCTTTCTCATATCCTAATCTATTTTCTCCCTGTCTGTGCATGAATACCTGTGATTCATCTACATAAAAAATGAATTGTTGGAGAGAAATGCTAGAGAAAGCTTTAAACAAGCTGAGATTTTGATGTATTAGTATTAATATATGGAGTACTATGTTTGTTAGTGCAGTAATCATGTCACCCATATTTGAGCTTATTCATTCAGAACTAGCTTGGGAATCACTTCAAGCCATGAAAACATATTAGCAGACCAAATCCTTAGACAGTGTGCTCAAAAGCACATCAATAACTTCTTTGCTTCTGCACATTCAGCACTTCACCTTCAAGTATTTTAATGGATCTGGTTTTTACTATTTTTCTTAAAGCAATGTATGCACTTCTTTACAACTACCATGGGCTGACACTTATTAAAACAATTAATGATTCTGCACATTGTGCAAGGTACTTTAAAGAATATGGTTTTCAGAAAGCGCCAGGCCTCCTTCTTGAGAACAATCAGCCTTGTAAAGTGCCACATGTTAAATGGCTTAGAGCAGAGCTCCCAAAATTAGTCTTCGCTTTCATAAACATTGGCCAATTTGATTTAATTTAGGATCTGGGGAAGTGCTGTGTTCTATCTCATACAAGTGTTGCTGAGCATATAGCACCAGGAAGCCAGGACAAGGCATTCTTGCATTCCTACAACTTTATTGTAACCTAGTGCTGTTTCCTTTTTTACCTTCCTTGATCTGACTTTCTGAATCTTAGCATGTGTTTTTTTTTTACCTGTGCACATCGACAGAGGCTCCGTGGGTCCAGGAAGGAGAAGATGTATAAGGACAGCACTCTAGGAAGCTTCATGGTAAAATCTAGAGCTTCGATGGGAATTCGATCCTGAAGCTGCTTGGCACAGAATTTCTGCAGGGACAGGGAGCAGAGCTCCAACTGATCCACCAAGATCTTCTGTCTCTGACCATCTGTCCACTTGATAAACTGAAAAAAGAGTTCCAGGTTGTGAGAAACTGGAGATTCGGCTTGTTAAAATAAGTCATACATGTAAGGCAAGGGAAAGTGCCCAAACAGCAGCTTTTGGTGACTCACTCAATAACAAAGCATGTAGGAACCGGGAACAAATGGAGAGGATACATTAAAAGAAACTCTGAAGCCACATAATGTATGATTTATAATCCTCAAAGGATCCAGGATGACCTTGTCCAGGACACAGTCATCCTCACAAGATTCTCAACACCTAGGATCAGTTTGGAAACTCGGCTTCAGTCATGAAAAGGAGACTCAGGTGTGTGTTTGCAGGATTGGGTCCTAAGTTGACTGCTGCTTCCTCACCTATCCTGACTCATATATGGCCCCCAAAACTGCAGTATTTGAGTGCCTCACAATTTGTGAAGTATTTATTCCCACAGTCTGCACAAGAGAGAAATCCCCACTGCCTTGCAAAGAAGCAGAGCAAAGAGAAACTACACCAGTTGCCCACATCTCCCAAGGAAAACGTGACACAGACCTGGCAGCGCAGTAACAGATTTTTCATGGCGTTTCCGTGCTTATGACAGATATCTAAAGAGGAGGAGGAAAGCAGTTGGACCTCACTGTGGGAAGAAATGAGCACTTAACCACACAAACACGTATCGCTTGATACAACAGCAACAACAGCACTGCTCCGAGCAGAGTGGAGCAGAGCTGTGTAAACAGGGTGGGAGCAACGGCAGCCGTACCTGGTGTTTAGCCTGTGTTGACAGCAGGGGATGGAAAGGGCCCTGTCAGCAGGAATCTCCTGGGAGGAGACTGACCTCATCGCCACAATCTGTGCAATCTGTCTCAAAACCTGCAGGAGCAGTCCTGGCTGCGAGGGCAGCACGGAGTGCCAGCAGGGAGGACGTGGCACTGGACCATTTAGTCAGCGCCAACAGGAATCCCCAGTGGGAACCGCTGGCAGCAGAATGGTACAGAGACTTCCAGAGGCAGAATGCAGATTCCTTGCAACCCAAACTCCCCTTCCTTACAAAGGGCAAGTTCCTAAGGAGCCAGGCCTGTCTGGGGAATGCTGCCTTCCTCTGCTTCTTTCTTTCTCATGCATTGGCCATACCTTTAACACACGTTCCTTTTTCTGTTTCCTGAAGCCAGCTTTCCACAGCTGACAACTTGCTCTTATGGGTCAAATCACAGCACAGTTATTTCTGCATTTAACACCAGGGGCATTTGAAGAACTTACTTAAACATGGTCTCCACAAATTAAAAATAGTATTAAGAAAAAAAAAACATGCAACTCTTCGTATATATATATGTGAGCATCTTCATATAGAGATGTGCATATATATATGTGCTTATGAAGAGCTGGGTAGATTCAATGCCCAATTCCCTTCCTTTCCTTTCTCTCTGAGAATAAAATGAATTACAAATTTAATCTTTTTTTTCCCTCTGTTTCCACACCAAAAATTGATGGTGAACTGGAGGATCAGCATTATTATGGTCTAAAATATACTGGGCAGATGAAAAGTAAGAAGAAGTAATTTCTTCACAGATCATCTTACAGAACTCTTTGTTCCTTTCTTTATTTTTACCTGGATGTATTTAATTCCAGGACTGGACAATAAGCTGTGAGCAGTAAATAGCTCTGCTCCTTCTTGCAGACACCTTTACAAGACCTTCATGTAGGTCAGCAAGGACAAGAAGGGCTGGAACAGGGAACCCAGACAAAAAGCCAAAGAGAAGAAAGCTCCCAAATATCCACATCTTTTCATATACAAACAGCAAATTAAGGAATACACCCTTTCCCTCCCCTCCCTATTTTGCATATGACTTTCACCTCTAATGGAGTTTAGCAAGGTGCTAAGCAAAATCTGAAGCAGGACCTTTGGATTCAGCACTTAGGAACGTGTCCTCTAAGAATACAAATTCAGGTGAAGATGCATCACAGGGGGACAGAGGAGGCTTTGCCTGTGCCTTTCTTGCTTTCAGTTTGATGTGAAAGGTTTTTTTCTGTCCTGTGACCGAGGGGGAAGAGCTTCTGCTGCACAGACTCCTCATTCATGTTCACAGCTACATCCTTTTCTCATTAAAACGGTCTGCAATCATCTGTTAACGAAGGTAAATTTCTCCTGGATAAGTTCCAGAGACAAGGGGGTAACTGGCTTCCTCCCTTCCACACCAAGAGATTAAGTGAACTGATCAAAGGAAATATAGATTCTCTTTCAGAGAGACAGAATATTTGCGTCCGTTTAACTCTTCCCATTCTGCCACTGCTTTGCAATGGAGCAATTCCTTCCAGCATCCTCAGCCTTACACCACGTGGGAGACTACACTAAATCAGTGTCACCCTGTCAGGAGCATGGGAACACACAGCTTCTCCTCCACTGCATTCAGCAGCAACCAAGTATTTAAGCAGGCATAATTTGTCTCTTTTCCAGTATTAACAAGCATGTCCCCATCCCACATTTGGCAGCCTTTCTCCACAGTTCCTCCCCTTGCATGTGATTACAGCAATCCAACCAGTCGGACCGGATTCCCCTTTTCAAGGGACTGCACCTTCTCAATCCGCAGCCAGGAACATTTTTCCTTTTCTGTGTCTTTCCCCAAGCCCTGGAGAACAATGTCTCCCCAGGGATCTGCGTGACATAAGGCTACCGACCGTTGCACCAGGGAATGCAGAGTGCCCAGCCTCTACTCCTTGCGATCAGTTTACGATTAATCCATGAGTGAACACACACAAATAATGCAGCCTGACACCAAGGGGATAGCCCAGGACCTCAGAGCTGAAGAACAGAAGCTCTGCCGCTTAACCTAAAGAGGCCCCACTCTGCTCTAACAGGCAGGTTGTTTTACTGACTTGAACCAGCCACTGAATTGGGACATAATCCTTGCCTCCAACCCAGCGTACTGACGTGAGTTCATAGGGTTACAATCACACTCAGGCAGCCCTGTGCTCTGCAAACATAGCACAGAACTCCCAAGTCAATACTGCCCTTCTGGAACACATTAATGTAGAATAACTTGCAAGTAGATGGATGGTTCAGCTCAGCAGAAGCAATTTTTGCCTCCTCAACCACCTTCTCCCAGCCCCAGTGCAGTGATCTACTTGGAGGCATGGGTTAAAAGAAAAGGGATGAAGGAGGCATCACCTGGTGTCCATATATAGAATCATAGAATTGTTTGAGGTGGAGGGGACATTTAAAGGCCATCTGTCCCACTCCCTGCACTGAACAGGGACACTCACAGCTCCATCAGTGCTCAGAGCCCATCCAGCCTGACATGAAGGATGGGGCACCACCACCTCTCTGGCAACCCATGCCAGTGCTTCATAATCCCATAAAGACCTTCTCCTCATATTAAATCTAAATCTCCCCTCTTTTATTTTGAAACCATTTCCCCTGATCCTATCACCACTGCTGTTAAAGAGCCTGTCCCCTTCCTTCTTACAGCCTCTTTTAGGTACTGAAAGGCTGAAAAGACCTCAGGTCTCCCCAGAACCTTCACTTCTCTCAAGTGGTTCTTTGCCACAAATTAACTCTGACCAGATGTAACCCATGAGGTGAACTGAATCATTGTTAGGGCTCCCCAATTTGTCCACATCTCATTTGGCTAGAGCAGAAGCTGAGATGCTCTGATCACATGGAGGCATTTAAGCTTAGGTATCTTAATCTTAAGTTCAACTCTAGCCTCATTGTCTACTTACTAACCTGCATGTCAGCATAATAGCATTGAGTGTTAAAGTAAAGCAAAATGATTTTGTGTTTTTTAGACTAATGGGAGGAAGTTTTGGCTTGCAGTATTGAGAACAGAGCAGAAAGGGAAGCTGAGAGGGAGTCCATCAAGGCATCTGCAATGGTGCAATCTAGAATAGCAGCTAGAAGAAAACAAAAAGAAAACTGAGAAATGTTAACTCTTTCCCAGAAGTTTTCAACTGAAAGATAGCAGCACAATTTATCTTTTGTATGTATCTGGAAAGCGTTTGACTAAAGCAGTGTGATAGAAATTCACCACAAATGCCTCCAGCAAGATCAAAGCCTGCAAATACACAGCTCTGAGAACAGCTATGTAGGACAGACTATCTGCTGCTGCTACACACTAGCACTGCAGTTGTACCTTGATGAGTTCAGTGCAATGTGAGACAGCCAAGAGCCTGTAGAGGGTCCCACTGTTTTTCTTCAATAGGGCAGGCGACAGCACAGCCGGTCCTACACCCTTTGGGGCTGCTCAGCCATGCAGAAACAGAGAGAAGAAATCCCTTCAGTTCACCTAGTTCATTGCTTTTCAGCCTGTGTCCTATGGACCACAACAGCCTGGGAGACAGACATCAGCATAAAAACGTTGAGAAACAGTTAGTTAGTTCAGCTCCTAGTGCAAGGAGGGATCCATCCTGCCTAAGACAATCCTGACAAATATTTGTCCAACCTGTCCTCAAAAGACTCCTGCAGTGGAGGTTTCCACCCCTTAGCCCCCAAGGCAAGCTATTGCAGCTGTGAATTAGCTGTAAATTTTGCTGGTGTCTAAATTGTATCTCCATAATTGAGATACAAGCCCATTATTTCTTATCCTATCCAACGTGAATACAGAGATCATTCCCTTCTTTTTCGTGTGCTCTAATCTGTTATTGTAAAGATGTTAATGAACCTTTTCTCCATCTTCCCTAGAGTAAACAGATCATTTTCAAATTTCCTGGACCTGAGGCCATTCTCAGAAGCACCTCCAGCTGATGCTCACCTTTCTCAGTATGCATGGTACAACACTGGCAATGGCTCTGCCTTTCAGACAGCTCTTTGGGATATTTCCCCATTTTTATCATTATAAGACAGTCATATTCATAATTCTCAGTATATTTTATACAGAATTGCAGCATACTTTGGTTTTCTTGTATCTGCAGTTTTCATAAATATCATTCTTATAACACTTTTCATTTGTCCCTATCAAACTGCAGAACTTTTCATTTTCATTTCTAATCATTTCTAAGTTCATCATTTCTAAGTTCATGAAATCACTCCCAGCCTGATAGCATCTGTAAATGAATATGTATTTTCCATTCCTTCACTCAGATATCACCAAAAATGAACATTGCTAAACTCAGGATGGAGTTCAGCCCATTTGTAACTACATTGAATGTGGATTCCCAGCCATAGAAAGCCAATTTTCAGCAGTTTCATCTAATCCATACTTCCTGAGTGCACTCTGAGAGGATTGTGTGAATCAATGTAAAAGTCCTGCCAAAGCACTGTGGTTTCTTGATAAAGTTTCTCCCGAACTCAGGCTGCCTTAGGCTTTGCATACAACATAATGCCAAAGACTTTGAAGGGAGCTAAGAACAGCTTTTGTGCTTTCCATGCCCTTTTCATTGGTATGATGGATGACAGAAGCACAAGGAGAATTAACTCCAAAGGAGCATGGTGAGAAGTACTGATCAAGTGTCAGATGGGGGTCAGGTATTTAACCTTTCAGAAGATGATTCAGCACTTGTGTTGTGTTTGGGGGAAGGTTATTTCCAGATTTTGGCTCTTTCAGTAGGGGTTCCAACAACATTTTTTACCAGCATATATACCATAGGCATTTTAAATCACCCATCAATTTTCAAGAAATAGATTTGAAGGCTATGAGTTCATGTTAAAAGGTGAACAATCATCCAATTATTTTGTTTTCTTGGTTTTTGTTAAAACCCTTGATATCAAAAGGCACACAAATAACAAGATGTGAACAGCGTATTTCCTATAAAGATGAATAATCTGTATGAACTTAAAGTCAAAATGCTTGTCTGTAAGAAACAGTTTACATGCAAAAAGCTTTCACGCAAGTGCCTTAGTAGGCATACAGAATAAGCATCACAGTTCACACAAAGTTACTGTACAAATATCCTTTCTCAAATAGCATTATTTCTACATTTATCTTAGCCTGAGTACCATATGTAACAATGTACCTGGCTCTGTGGTTCCATTTATAAAGATGTACAAAAGGCTCAGCCATACAGTCACTGCTTTAATACATCCACTCATTTACTGCAATAAAATCATTGAGTCTGTATTCCTCTTTGCATAGGAGACAGAGCAGATTACAACTACTTTCCCATAATTATATAGGTTTTTTACTCCTAAAAGAGTAAGGATAATGTGATATCTCAGGTGTTGCTGATATTCTGCCATTGCATGCTGTGCCATCTGCTTCCAGGGTAAGTCACTTACGGTTGCATTCCTTTACAGCTGCCAGTTATGACTCCCTTCATAGGCTACAGAAACAGGCATCTCTAGAGGGCTGCTCTTTCATCCTACATTAAGTGAGATGAATTACCTTCTGGAAGCACTGCTTTCTTTCTGTTGACTGTACACTGAGCCTATGATGACCAGACCAGTCAGGCTGAAATCCCTATGTTTCAGTCATACACACTTGGCCAGAGAAACCCTATCCTGAATGCCTATCTTACAGTGATCTCTGGCTGCAGCAGAAAATTCTGTTTTAAGTCTCTGTATACCTCATTTTTTAATCAAAAACAGGATGACAGCACTTTCCTGACTCATACACAAGTTATGAAGATACTGATGGCATGATACTGTGAGATGGTCAGTGATTACAGCATTAGGGGCCCTGTGTGTGCTCTTAGTAGATATTGTGTCAGTTATTACCATCTTTAAAGACTTTCTGTCAGGTAAAGGCAATACCTGAACACCCAGTATCCTTTCTGAAGACTTCACAGACTTTTCTGAGGGCTTCTTATCTTATTACAGAACATTTTGAGAAAAGAATCCAATTTCCCAAGTTCAAAACTTACAGAAATAAGGCACCAAGAAAAATGTATACGTTTGCCTTCATCAAAAGTAGAGCAGTTAAAGTTCACTTTCACGTATCTATCAGGAAAATGAATCCCTTTTTCAAAGTAGGGTGTTATACATTCTCATTACAGTAATCTCTTGATAAGTTCAGAAACCTAACTGTATTTAAATATACATAAAGGAAAAAGTTTACCCATTTTCTGAACAGGGCTCTTCTTTCTTCAAATACCTGTAAAACATAAACACACAATTAAAAATGAATACTTTAAGGAGATTCAGTATTTGCTAAGAAAAAATATAGCTTGGAAAAAAAAAAAAAAATCTATGAAATCTGGAAAATAGAAACAGCATCACAAAATGGGCGAAGTTGGAAGGAACTTAAGGAGAATGGTTAAGTTTCAGGTCCCTGCTAGGGTCAACTAAAGTATGTTGCTTAGGGCCACATCCAGCTGGATTTTGAATATTTTCTTGGATGAAAACTCCGCAGTTTCTCTGAGTAACTTGTATGTGACCACTCTCATGGTAAAAATGTTTTTTCTTATGGTCACTGGAATTTCCTGCATTTCTGTTTGCAGCCATTGTCTCTTGGCATTTCCCTGGAAGCTACCATGAAAAACCTGCCTCTGTGTTCTTTACCTCCTTCCATCAGGTATCCAAATACACTGATAAGATTTGTATCTGAGCCCTTCTTCTCCAGGCTGAACAATCCCATAACTCTCAACTCTTCCCTATGTGTCAGATGCTCCAACTTCCTGATCATTTCTGTGATATTTCACTGGGTTTGTTCCTTGTTCTTTGTCTTTCTTTTATGGGGGAATCCAGAATCAGACACATCCCCAACCAATTCTTCCTTGTTTATAAGAATGTGGACCAGCAGAACATCTTCCCTTGTTGGCTCCTCAATGACCTGGGTCATCAAAGTACTCCTGAAACTTCCTGGGTTGCTTGTGCTGTACTGAGTTGTCCTTCATAGATATTTATTTACTTTTTTGAATAGATTTCATTCTTCTGAGTTGGAGAAACTGGGTAATGGAATGGATACAACGTGGGTAGCTATCATAGAGCTCTGGCAATGGCTTAATAAGGCCAGTTGTTGTGGCTCATGCTGTCCCTAGGTTCTTTACAGTGACAACTAACAAGATGGATGAATGGTATCAAAATACAGCGGAGGATTTGTGATGCTGACCTTCATCCTTAGGGAGCTAGATATGAAAGCACTAGCACGTGGCTTTCCACTACTACAAGACTGCCTTTATGCTCAGGATTATGACCTTGCAAGTGAGGAAATGCTATAGATGTATTGCTTCTTTTTTTTTTTCTTTTTTTTTTTTTCCAGAAGACAGATCAAGGAAAAAGCCCAGTTTATAACTGTACATAAAAACAGCTATTAACCACAACTAGAAAAACATGCTTGATCATTATAAACTCCAAAAATGTTATTGCTTTGACAGCCTGCAAAGAAGGTTCCTGCAGAGAAAGACATTATCAGTGCTGATGTCTGGTACAGCAGTCGTCAGCATTAGCTCTGTCTCTCTCAGCAGGAGTGTCTCTTGTGAGGAGTGAAAAGTGACATTTCTTTTATTTGCAAGTTGACAGTTATTATTTGCTTTATTTGCATGTGGGACACTTGGCAAAGTGAAAAAAATACAAAAGCTGAACAAGCTGAACTTGGAAAGGGATTTGCCACAAGCAAATGATGAATAGTCAAAGATCTAAGTTTTGAGTTGGATAATTCAAGTGAGGCAGGGAGCTATTTATGTAACTGAATGCAATTTAATGGTCTTTGATCAAAGAAAGACACATATTTGCTTTCAGCATTTTTGGAGATACAACTAAGCCAACTCTGTTAGAAAAGTTCTGCCTACTCCAGGCACTTGGAAGCATTAATTAGCAACAGAATAGCCCCAGATTGGTATAATCATCCACTGAGCTAATCAGATCTATTTTTACTGTCTTCTCCTCCAAGGCCTTCAAGTTACACCTATCTCTTACCTAGGTTGGCTGGCTTAGGATTCAGCTCAAAGCCCAGGTTGCTCCTGCAAACTGCCATCCCACATCTGTGTTCCTAGGTAGCTATAAATAAGCTCAAGTTCTGGGCTGTCTGGCAAATCCCTCCAGTCTTTGCTGCAAATGCCACTGAGGCTCTTTTATCCCACTGCATAATTCTGACTAACTGAAGGCAAATAATCTCTTGACTTCCAGTCTTTCCTTAAATGCAGCTCCTCCTCTGGTTTTCTGAGTGTGAATATTGCTTAATTCAAGGTTTCCTAATTCTGGCTTCTTTACTTTGGTCTGTTCCTGCTGGAGATTCTGAATTTAAAGGAAATGATTGCCCATGGCCCAGTGGTAACACCATGGACTAGCTCTGACAGCTGCAGTGAGGGCAGAAAAATACAGATGGAGGCTACAAGACTGAGGATATACAATGAGCAGGAGACATCTTGGGTCCTGACATCAATGCAGACAAGTGCACTCCTGAGCATATCTGAAGATCTAGGGAAATCTGCAGGAACCACAGAAGGTGCATCCCCAGGATTAACCCAAATTAGACAGGTGGCAAATTTACACTAACTGTTTTGAACCTGCTCCTAGCAGTTGTTTAGATGGAGCTTAAATGCTATTGACCAACTCTAAATTCTCACCATTCTTGCCCCTCATTGCCAATTTGTCTAAGAAGTATTTTTCTTAGGCATCTATTTTCTCTCTGTTTTTATCTTCTCATTGTTTTTCACATACCTTCTTTCTATAAACTCTTTACTTTTTCAGACTTTCAGATCTTCACTCAAAAGTGCAGAAATGAATAGAGATAGGATTGTATGAAAATAAAACCTTCTCACACCTTATATATATCAATTGGATTATTTCCTGATTTCACCTGTTGGCAATATTTTTGTTGCAACTATTTGTTTTCTACTAACTCTGCAGAGCCAGCACTGAGAGCTGTAGGGATAAATGAAAGAATTTCAAACCTGGATCAGAAGCAAATAAACACTTTTTAGTATGAATTTCATCACTGATCACAGCTCCGGGAGATAGGAGGTAGGTTCTTTCCTACCTAAAACAACAACATTAAGATGTTGGTGGATGACAGAAAGACAGAATCACAGAATCACAGAATCACAGAATCACTAAGGTTGGAAAAGACCTATTAGATCATCCAGTCCAACCATCCACCTATCACCAATGGTTCTCGCTAAACCATATCCCTCAACACAACATC